TGAAATCCTTCCTAGAAGAAAACAATGCTTCCTTTATTTAGCTCAAGTCTCTCAAAACAAAAGACATCTGTAAGAGTCAACTTCAAATCCCAAAGGTGTTTTATGTATGAATATAAATTCTGTTATTTATAACATTTGTTTTAAAATGTTTTTTCAGATTTTATATGAATTCATATGATTTTAATATGCATTTATTTTCATAATGCAAACTTTTTGTTCCCCTTTCCATATTTGCTTGGCTTCTTTTTTTTATATTTATTTTATTGATTTTGTACAGAGAGGAAGGGAGAGAGATAGAGAGTTAGAAACATCGATGAGAGAAAGTCATCGATCAGCTGCCTCTTGCACACCCCCTACTGGGGGTATGCCTGCAACCAAGGTACATGCCCTTGACCGGAATCGAACCCGGGACCCTTCAGTCCCCAAGCCGACACTCTTTCCATTGAGCCAAACCGGTCCGGGCATTTGCTTGGCTTCTTAATCCACCTTCTCACTCAACTCTCACTACAATACTTCTCCGTCATGCACACACACATACATATTACACACACATAAATGCACATACTAGTGTGTTCAGACACAGCAAGTTGACTGCATAGTGTGTATCCTTCCATACTTAATGGTGTCTTCTGATTAATAGAAGTTTTAATTTTATAAATTAAATTTATAAACTTTATTTATAAATTTTATCTTTTATGGTTAACATTTTTATGTCCTTATTAAGAAATCTTTGATTAATCTAAGGTTGTGAAATATGCTCTCACATTTACTTATAGAAACTGTATAGCTTTAGCTTTTATGTTTAAATCTATGAACATCTCTAATTTTTATGCATGGTATGAAGTAGAATATGTCGTTCATTTTATTTGATACAGATATCCAGTTATTCATCCACAATTTATTAAAAATACTTTATTTTCCCCATTATAAACTTTGTGCTTCTTGAATATCATTTAAATGTGTAGGTATGAGTCTATTTCTAAATTGTATTATATTCCATTTATCTATCTTTATTTTAATTTCACACTGTATAAGCTATATAGTAAGTCTTGAAATCAAACTTTCTTTTATATTTAAAAAATAATTTTGGCTATTCTAGGTTCTTTGCATTTCTATACAAATTTTAGAATTTTTACCTGAAACAAAAATTATGATTGAGATTGCATTAACTTTATAAATCAATTGAGCAGCAAGCTGATGCAGTCATAGGGCTCAATTCATTTGTCTACCCACTCTCAGTGAGCATTGTATAATGCCCAATGTCTGAAAACTTTTGTTTCATATATTTTTGTTAAAAACTTGTTTCCAGACCTTGTTATTCCATTTTTGAATGAAAGTAGAAATCCAAAATAAACATTTTAAAAATTATATTTTATTGATTTTTTACAGAGAGGAAGGGAGAGGGATAGAGAGTTAGAAACATCGATGAGAGAGAAACATCGATCAGCTGCCTCCTGTACACCCCCCACTGGGGATGTGCCAGCAACCAAGGTACATGCCCTTGACCGGAATCGAACCCCGGACCCTTCAGTCCGCAGGCTGGCACTCTAGCCACTGAGCCAAACCAGTTTCGGCCCAAAATAAATATTTTTAATATATATCATAAAAATGGGGGCTGGGCGGAGGTGGTCAAAGGGGGGTAAATGGGGAATATATGCAATAGTTTAAACAATAAAAACAAAGTTATAAAAATTCAGTGGCCAAAAAGAGAAATTAATCAGTAAAATAAGCTGGAAAACTACTTAGCTATCTTAGAACAAAATTAATTTATGTCTTCCCCATACAAAATTCTTGTAATTAACGCAAAAATGAGTATGACCAAAAAATGTGAGTCCATGTTAGTATATACTATTTGTCAAAATTCTAAATTCAATTATTAATTAAGCTTGTTACTAACTTCTAAAAATAGTAGAAATAAAATAAATCCCAACTAAAAGTAGAAATAAGAATTTTTTTTTTTTTTTACCAATTTATTCTATTGAAGAAAATTTTTTTTAAAAAGATGAAACCCAACATTGGCAAAGCAAGGGAAATAAAATAGGTATTCTTGTTGTGAAGGCAATTTTGCAATATTTATCAGCAATCTTAAAGTGTTCCTCACTTCTGACTGTAATTCCACTTCTGGGGACCTTTCTTAAGCAATAATAATTCTAAATGCAAATATTTCTACATTAAAAGGTTCACAGTATAAGAAACTGGATTCAGTTTAATTTTTATTAAAAAGATGTTAAATCTAAATTGGTGTACATCATTACTAAGGTTCACAAAGAATTTAAAGACAAAATATAGTTATTAAGTTTTAAAAACAAGAACAAAATAAAATACATAGTAAGTACTAAAATTTAATAGAACTAATGACTAGGATGATATTCACAAATACATGATTAATTATTATCACTTGAAATGGGAATAGATATTATTGCATTTTCTTCCTCATACTTCTCTTTATTTTCTAAATTTTCAACAATGAACATACACAGGTGGACAAAAGTAGGTTTACACTTGTGCGTATGTGAAACACTTTATTCTTATAATATTTACTAATTATTGTATTATTTTTCATACAACCAATTGTAAGTCTACTTTTACCCATGCCTGTGTATTATTTTTATAATCAGCAAAATTTTAACCCCTAAAACATGATAGGATTTAAGATTTCTTATAAGGTCTACTTTTTTAATAATTTATTTTTATTGATTTCAGAGAAGAAGAGAGAGATAGAAGCACAATGATGAGAGTCATTGATTGGCAGCCTCTTGCACACCCCACACTGGGGATCGAGCCCACAGCTGAGACATTTGTCCTGACCGGGAATCGAACCATGATCTTCTTGTTCATGGGTTGATGCTCAATCACTGAGCATTACTGGCCGGGCTGCAGATGGGGATTTTTACGAACAAAGTCAGATAGGTGGTTTCCAAACTAGATTTTAAGGTGAATGAAATGGTTCTAAAATGCTAACTCGACGACAGGCTGCAGTGCAGTGTGAGGACAGAGGTGTCCCACCCAAGGTCAAGGCAGGATTCCTGCAGAGAGATGGAGTCCCATGAAGCGGGTCAGGCCAGGGGTTTCTATAAGGGGTGGGTGGGGTGGGGCAGGTGCCTCATTACAGTGCGGATTCAGAGGTTTCTGCCCAGGGCAGGCAGAGGTGCCTGTGCTGTGGTGGCAGGACAGGGCGCCTCCTATATAACATGAGGACCGGTGATCCTGTTCAGGGTCAGGGTGGGTTTCCTGCTTATTAGAGAAAGGATGCCCTTAGAGCTCCTGCATCAGAGAGGTTCCTGAACCAGGCTAAGGCTGCTGTTCTTACAGGGGTTGAGGATCCGGGGCTCCTGAACACAGCGAGTCCAGGGGCCTTTCCAGCACAGGTTCCAAAAGAGGTTTCTGTTCTAGACGAGGATGGGGCTCCCACAGGATGAGGAGGCTGGGGTTCTATGGAGTGGCCAGGGAAGGTCTGGACAATCCCTGTAATGAGCAGGGACTACTGCGATTCTGCAGTGGGCCAGTGTGCTGACTAATGAAGGGATGATGTTCTGTTGATGCTCAACGACAGAGAGCCACACTGGCAGGACTAGATTGTTTTTTCAGGTGTTCATGGGCTAAAGCAGCTGAGCCTTCCAGCCAATGTCGAGCACAGTGAGCACTCAGGAGACGATGCTGCTTGGGGTCAGAAGCCTCTGGGCAGTGTGGAGGCCAAGCCACGGAGCCTGGCTCAGCCCTGTGCCACCAGCTGTGTGGCCCTGGGAGAGCCACTTACCCTGTCTAGGTTAGGATGTCTCCTGACTCCGTGCATGCTCCGATGTGGGGGTTTGTTCCATGGAAGAACAGACCCCACTTTAGGGGGAGCAGTTCACTCAGGTCAGTGGTGTGTTGGGAGGGAGTTGGCACTGTGGGGAGCTCCCCACCTGTGGGCTCTAAATATCCCCCCTAGAAATTATTTTGTCTCCAAATCTCCCCCCTCCTTCTCTACCATTTCCCAGAGGGCTGCATCAGGGTTCTTCTCTCTCTCTGGGCTGAGAGAGAGAAGAGATGAGTGACAGGAGGGCCCATGGACAACCCCTGGGTCTCAGGCTGGCCTTCTGCCCTTCTTGCTGGCTGCCATTCCAGCCCCACTCCTTCCTCCCATTCCTGCCCTGAACATGTCTTCTGTCCCTGGAGGTGGGTCCTTAGCTTACAGACTGAAACTATATATATTGATGCCTCCACAAGCACGTGCACAGAGCTGCTCACCCTGTCAGCCACTCAGAGGCACAGTGACAGGGCACATGACACGGGATACGCTCACACACACATGCTGGCACACAAGCACTGCCCTTACCAGACCCTCAGAGGCCCCCTGACATGCTGCTAGGTCTCCACATTCCGTCCCACACAGTCCTTGCTCAGCATTCCAGAAATGCTTGTTTACCAGATGCTGAGCCTGGTACACATGCTGTGCCTGGTACACCGTCTCAGACCCACCCTGCGTGCCCAGTCACATGAGCACTACCTCACATGCTGCCTTAGCACATCCGTTTACACACATACCCCCACTTCCTCTCATACAGTCACGTGGGCCCCGTTTCTCACAGTCGCCTGGTGTCAGGCACGCCATCTCTCACCCCCTCACCCCATGGTCACCACCGCACAGAGCACTCGGCCACCACACAGTCTCCGCCCATGACGTGTGCATGTACAGGCCATTTCATACACCCTGGTTGCTGTCACATGCGGTTTCACATACACATCATGTTATACTTGCACATCACAACCCGCTATCATGAAGGGGCACGGGTGCAGTCTCTCACAGCCTCACACCACCACCAGAGAACCACAGGCCCATTGCACTGCTCTTTATTTAGTCCCACTCAGACTCACACCTCCAATTTTAGGACACGGGTGCTTTATTTCACAAATCTTTGACAATCCAGACCAAGGGGTGTGGGGGGCCCAGAGGGTTGGGCTGTAGAGGGACTGTGGAGAGGGACCCCAACCCTGCTCTGGGGACATGCTCTGTGTCCTCATGGGCTGAGTGGCGCCTCCACAGTGCTGCTTGTGGTGGGAAGCATGGGGCCTGTGGGGAAGGACCCTGTGGGTGAGCCCAACAGGGGCCCGGGGAAAGGCATGAGGTGGCTGACAGGCCCTGACAGCACCACAGGGCCCAGGCCTTGGTAGAGATGGGCAGTGCCTGGTGGGCCCAATGTCAAGCCTGAGGCCACCTCCCCACTATTCCCCCCATCACTGCCCCCGGCCATGAAGCCACCCGCTGGCCCATCAGCTGGTCCTGGGCCTCCCAGACTTGACTCTGGCTTCTTCTTTTTCTGTGATGCCATGTTCTTTCTAGTCTTTACAGCATCCTTCTGCATGATCGCTGGTCGGTTCGCCTGACAAAAGGGAGGCCATGAGTGTTCCCCAATCTCAGACTTTGGCCTCTGTGTCTCCACCTTTCCACCCCACTCCTTAAGAATAGGGAACTGGGCCAAGGGCTAGGGGAGCAGGCCCTATCTGTGGCACAGATAATGCCTAAGGAATCATGAGCTTGTGAGGAAAGGCTGGGGGAAGCCTCTAGCCATAGGACTAGCTGATGGCTGGAGGGGAGGCAGAAGGAGATGAGAAATGGAGGAGAGAGAAGGGAGCAGCAGGGATTAGGAAGTCAGGGAGGAGATGGAAGTGCAGAGAAGAGAGAGATGGGGGGAGAGGAGGAGGAGGGAGAATAACAGGAAGAGAGGGAAGGGAGATAGGAAGATTACAGGCAAGGAAAAGGAGAAGGTAGGCAGAGTTAGTGGGATGGGGGAGGGTGCAGGTTCCAAGAGGCAGGGCACACCTGGTGTCGCTTGTAATAGAGTCCGCAGGCATTGCACAGAGGTTCTCCACTGGCATTCATCCGCCACACTGCCGTGGTGGTTGTCTGGCAGTTGGTGCACTGGGTACCTGCCCGCTTGCTGACCTTCTGGAGGCAGCAAGAATGTGAGGGTCAGTGCACTGGGTGGGTGGAGGACACAGGAGGTGAGGGTCAGGGTGAAGGCAGGGCTTCCTGGACAAGAACCACAGGCACCGTTGGGGACAAGGAGTAGACTGAGGGTTCTCTAAGGGGCGAGGACATGGCCTCCTGTCCCGGGGCTTTCCAAATGGGGTGGGGGCTGCATCAGTGGCTCTCAACATTGCAGGACACTGGACGCACTTGGGGAGTCGGAAATAATCCTGATGCCCAGGCAGTGCTCCAGACCAAGTAAATCAGCCCATCTAGGGAGGGCCCCACTGTGATACCAGTGTACAGCCAAGTATAAAAAAGGCTGTGCAGGGAGTGGACACGTGCCTGCTTGCAGCCTGAGTGTGGGCTGAGGGTAGACACTCTTGTACAGAGCTGGGTCCCTGAGTGGATGGGGCAGGGAGAGTGGTCGGGGTTCTCATCGCATGTGAGGACAGAGATCCTGCAGGGAGTGGGAACAGCAGTGCCTGGGAGAGGGTATCGGGCCTGGGGTCTTACCGGGCGCTTTTTGAGCTGGTTCTGCCTATTCATCATCTGACTATCTGTATCGCTCTGGTACCATAGCGAAGTGGCCGTTGCTTCACAATTTTCACACTCCTTGGCCTCTGGTGTGGTGGACCGGGGGAAAGAGGGATCCAGGCTCAGCACAACTTTTTCTTCAACCCGCCCCCTACCTCAACCTCCCTGTCCTTTTTGGGGGACCTCACCACAGGTGGTCATGGGCAGGGTTCCAAGAAGGTTGGTGGGCGAATAGGCCAATGGATTCGGGGAGCTTTCGGTGGGAGGAAAGAAGCCCCTTGGAAAGTCAGGGGCCCCGGAGGCACTGGTCGGGACAGGAATGGAGGAAGGCACTGCCGGTGCCATGGTCAGCAGGTCCAAACTGAGTTGCTGTGTTGTTACGGTCTCTAGGATGGTGCCTCTCGCATAGGAATCTTCTGAGACCTGGGGGTCATCGCTGGTGGGGCACACAGTGGAGGACAGGTAGACCCCAGTGTTGCTATAGGCCCAGCTGGTATATTGTGAGCCCCCTGGGGTCTCCTCCATACAGTTGAGCACCTGGTAGCCTGTTGAGGGGGTGGGTATGGGAAGGAAGAAAGAAGGGGACAGAAGGTCTGACGCCATCTGCTTTTAGTGTGCAGTGGTACCTAACAGCCCCAGCATGGTGGCCAACCTCCCCACCTTCCCATAGGTTGCCAGAACAGCTGCTGGCCCTGAGGGACTCCTGGACCTGAGCCCCACTGGTCACCCTGGCAGCTGCAGTCACCTGAAGCCACTTCCCAATGGACTTTGAGCAAAACTGTGTGGAGCCCCATGGGCCACTCAACAATGAGGGCCACCCCCACCTACTTACTGCATTCTTTCCTGATGAGGCCTTCTGGGGATATACATTCCCAGGCCTGCACATACGTAGACAAATTGGTCCACATAGCCATGTGAAGGCTTCTGGCCTTTTTCAAAATGGCTTCTTTGTTGGGTTCTACCCTAGCTAAGGGTCTCCCTGGCAACCCCAACAGCATGGAACCCTGCAAGGAAAGCCAGTGCAGCAGCAGCCTGCGTGTGCTCCAACTAGGGCCAGGGGTCAATCCTATAACCCAGGTATGTGCTGTTGACTAGGAATTGAACCAGAGACCCTTTGGTGCACAGGCCCATGCTCTAACCACTGATCACACCAGCCAGGGCCCATGAGAGATTCCTATGGGCCAGGCCTGGAAATTGTGTATGTCACTCTGCTCGCTCCATTGATCAGAACTGTCACATGTCCACCTGTCCTTGTAAGGGGGACTGGGAAAGTGAGTGAATCAGGAAGAAAGGGGAACAGGGTTGACAAGCCTATAGCAGTGTCTGCTTCAGGATTCCGTAGGCTCCCCAAAGCTATGCTGTTTCATGTGGGAGCCACTGGCCACAGTCAGAACAGTGACTCTTGTACAAGGTGAGAGTAAGGCTTCCAGAACAAAGCTGTCAGAGAGAGAGAGTCTCATCAGGGCTCCTGTACAGGGTCAGGAGAGTGTTTCCAGAGGGCAAGTTTCAGGGCTCCTACAAAAGATCAGGTCAGAGATTCCTGAAGTGAGTCAAGTTATGGATTCCTGTTGGAAGTCAGAGAAAGGTTTTCTGCAGAATCCGGTTATAGGCTCCAGCACTGTTATAGACAAGGCTTCCTGTAGGGGGTCAGGCCATGGAGCCAGGACAGGGATATGTCAGCACGCCCTGCACAGTGTCTGGGCAGGGGGTCCTGTGTCAGGTGAGGTTGTAAGCGCCTATATAGGATGAGATCTGGACTTAAAGCAGGGGTTCAGGACAGGAGCCCCACCACAGGCTCAGGAAAGGTTTTCCATGTAAGTTCAAGACTGAGGTTCGTGTTGAGAGTTGGATCACGGGTTCCTGTGGACTCTGTGGGGTGGGGCGTGAGGTAGGGATTGTGTGCAGAGTGACGTCAGGGCTCATTGTCAACAATGGAAGCAAGGCTCCTGAACTCAATCAGGGTTCCCAAAGAGTTTGCAGATTTGGATTTCTTTTATACTATATATATATATATATATATATATATATATATATATATATATATATATATATTTCAGAGAGGAAGGAAGATGAAGTGATAGATAGAAATATAAATGATGAGAGTGTATCATGAATCAGCTGCCTCTTACTCATCCCTCACTTGAAATAGAGTCCACAGCCTGGTTCATACGTTGATGGTCTACCAGTAAGCTTCACGAAGCCAGGCTATAAGGTCTATTTTAAAATAGATCTCATGCTTGGTGGCCTCTGTGTAATCTTATGCATAAAGTACAATACAAAGATCTTTAAATGTACTCGTCTAAGAATTATCAGTATTGTTAATGATGCTTTCATCATCTTCTGGAGCTGATGACAAAACACCATTAATCATCCAATGTTTGGGCAGTAGAGGGTAATCTACAGAAGGGCTCCTGATGCCCTACTTCATTTCTATTTTTGTAGCTCACTTACTAGTCTGCAAGATCCTTGAGAGTAAGGTCTTTGTCCGAATCAGTTCTGAAATAATGCAGTGTTAGAGAGGGATGATGTGCTGTCAAGAAGAAGAGGATTTAAATTTACTAGTTGTGTACATCTGGAAAAGCTAAGAAATTTTTCTGAGTTTCAGAATTTTTACCTGTGAAATGGAGATAATAAACCTACTTTCTATCATTGCTAAGTGTTAGAAATGATAGATAAAAATACCCACTTAGTACCTATTCAATAAATTATAGCTCTTATTATAATTATTAGAGGCCCAGTGCATGAATTCGTGCACCAGTGGGGTCTCGCTGCCTGGCCAGACTGGGCCCAAGTTGGCTCTCTGACATCCCAAGGGGTCCCTGATTGTGAGAGGGTGCATACCAGGCTGAGGGACCCCACCAGTGCATGATAGGCCTGGGGAGGGTCATGGGAGGTTGGTCTGCCAGGGAGGGACTGCAGGAGGGCTCCAGGGCATGTCCAGCCCATCTCATTCAGTCCCAATTGGCTAGACCTTAGCAGCAATCTTACCTACCAGTTGGAGCATCTGCCCCCTGGTGGTCAGTGCATGTCATAATGACTGATCGACCTGTCAACTATCTGTCCCCACTGGTGGTCAGTGCACATCATTGCAAGAAGTTGAGCAGCCTTAGCATATCATTAGTATATTATATGCTTTGATTGGCTGAATGGCCCACCAGTTGATCTGACACTTAGAATATTAGGCTTTTATTATATAGGATTAGTAGTAATATATTGTAGAATAAGGGCTAAATAGAAACTCCCTGTTGGCTAATAGAAGGTATACACACTTAAGTTATGCTATTAGTTATATTCTTTGCAAAAATAGCAAACGAATCTAGAGATGTATTGTTGTACATTATTATTTACATAATTGCTCCTCCCAAATGTAATATCTTTAACAAGGTATTTAGAGGGTCAAGGTATTCACCCAATGAAGGCACCATTTTAAAAAATCACTTTACTCAAGTACGGTTAACATACAAAAAGCTGTAGCTATTTAATGTGTGCAACTTGATGTGCTTGGAAAGAAGTACATACCTGTGAAATCATCATCACTATTAATGTCACAAATTTATTCATCACCTCCGAAAGTTTTTTCTTAGTACACCCTTTTTTTTTCTTTCTTTTTTTAATGGTAAGAGCACTTAATATAAAATCTAACCTCTTAGCAAAGTATACAATTCAGTATTGTTGATAATAGGTTGCATGTTGCACAATAAACCTACAGAACTTATTTAATTTGTGCAACTGAAACTCTGTACCCTTTGACCAACACCACCCCATTTTCTCCTCTATCCAGTTCTGGCATCTAACATTCTATTCTCTGCTTCTATAATACATGTTTGACTATGTTAAATTCCATATATAAATGAGATCATGCAGACTTTGTCTGGCTTATTTCACTTAGTAAGAAGGAATTTCTAAGAGTATAATTTAATAGTGTAACAAGGGAGCTAAAGATTGTTTTGAGAACAACAGGAATTGTATTGGAATAACCTCCAATATTCCTTACTTTGCCTATGGGTAAGGTCATAAATATAATGATGGAATTGTGAAATTCATGATAGACAAAATCTTTAATATCTTTCTTCCTGTCAATACTTCTTAGAGAAACCAAGACCCAATGAGCTGAAATAATGTCCCCAAGTACAGTGTCAGAGGCAGGACTCGAAGCCAGATCAGGCTTCATGGCTCCCACTCTAACTTTCCCTGATACTTGCTATATTTAATGACAAATAGGTGGGAAAGAAGAAAAAGAGAATAAAGATGGTGACAGTTGTGATGGTGGTTGTGGTGGTGGTGCTAAAGAAGAAGAAATACCACTTGCATAGAGTCTTCTCTTCATGTTGTTCTACAGAGGGACACTAATTTAGAGCAGCATGATGTAATAGGCTGAATTATGTACCCCAAATTCATTTGTCAAAGTCCTAACCTAAAGTACCTCTGAATGCAACATTATTTGTAAATGAGGTCTTTAAAAAAGTAATTAAGTTAAAATGCGGTCACTAATTTGATATGACTGATATACTTATAAGAAGAGTTAGGACACAGACAGAAGGACAACCATATTTGCACTGAATCTTTTTGTTGATCAGAACAGGTTGTGGCCACTTAGGCCCATCTCATGGGGAAATTTTTTTTTATAGGAAAAGGAATGTGAGCCCTCGCCAGTTTGGCTCAATGGATAGAGCGTTAGTCTGTGGACTGAAGGGTCCCAGGTTTGATTCTGGTCAAGGGCACATGCTGGGGTTGCGGTCTCCATCCCCAGCATGGGGACTGCAGGAAGCAACTTATCAATTTCTTTAATCATTGATGTTTCTTATCTTTTTCTCCCTCTCCCTCCCTCTCTGAAATCAATAAAAATTTTATAAAAAAAAGAAAAAGAAAATGAACGGGAGAAAGGAAATAAATTGAAAGAAAGATGACTCAACAAACAGCTTAAACCCTAAAAAACTAGAAAAGAATACAGAATGGTGTGTTTTTGTTTGTTTGTTTGTTTGTTTGTTTTTTAAAGACAAAGAACATAGAGAAAAATATCACCATTGTGGGTGAACTTTTTCTTGAGTGTTCCCAGAGATTTCAATGCTAGCCTAAAGGGTTTCTCTCCCTCTAAACATTCCTATCACCCATATCTTCTTAATCATTGCATTTAATTACAAAGCAACTATATATTTTATGCCAATTTTGCAAGTGGAAGAATAAGACTGTCATGATTCAATGAGTATGATATTGCCAAATCCTCGCCATACTTTCACATAATAAATCATATTAACTGAAATATTTTGATGTACATGACATGTCACATCTAGAAAAAGGAAGTCTGTGCCACCTTTGTACATAAAAACAGCTTTAACCTACAAATATTTATGTGCCCACTGTGAAAGCAGGCCACTATTGGATGGTTCCATTTCACCAATTAATTGGATACTTGCCCACTTATTATTTACCTCAAAGAGAAGATTTATGCCTCTAGATCAAATCAGGATATATTTTGTTTTTAAAATGTTGATATATAGTTATTATACAGAAATTAAAGTTATTTCTTGCTTTATTGTTTGCTCTCTTTCACAGAGATAATGATGAGCTAAAAGACAAAGGATAAATAGTTATGTACTCAGATA